GGGGGGGGGGGGGGGGGGGGGAAGAGATGCAGCAGTGGGAGCGGCCAAGCCCTGCACTGTCCAGAGGGCCGGATCCAGCCCTACAGCAGCTCGGGTGCTGTGGGGCAGGGATGGGACAGGGGTCCAGCAGCGATGCTGGTGGGGAGCGCAGGTAGCCGGAGCTGGGCAGGAGCTCCTCGGGATGGCAGGAGCTCCTTGAGCTCAATCGGATGGGATTGGAGGGTTGGGATCTCCTTCAGCTCCAGGGCCGGAGGCCAAGGTGGGGCTGGCAGGGAGCGCGAGGGGCTGCCCCGGCCTGACACCATGACATCAGGGCACTAATTACAGATGTGGCCTGGGATAATTACAGAGTGGGCGAGGGCTGCAGCAGGGCAGGGCAGGGCTCAGCCCATCGCTGGCCCATTTATCACCTGCACCCACAGGGGATTGTCTTGCAGCAGTGGGGCTTTGTGGCCGGCTGCGATGCCGGCCCCATGGTGAGATGCTTGGGGGCTGGTGGCTGCCCCAGCACACTGCCAGCGACGGGCTGGTACCGCACCCATCTGCCCCTGGGCAGGATGCACAGACAGACCCTCGCCCCTGGGTTCCTGCTGGGTCACTGCCTCGTAGCTAGTAGGGGTCAGCTGGAGCATTTTGGGGGCAGGGGTTCAGATCAGGCCTCGTGGCCATGATACCACTGCCCTGTGTGGGCCCTGAAACCGCCCTGCGCAGAGCAGCAGGGTGGGAGCAGCCTGGGGCAGAGGCAAAGTCCTGGGGCTGGAGGAGGGAGGTGTGGGGCAGAGGGGTGGGGAGCGGTGTGTGAGCGGGTGGGATGGGGTGTCCCATGTGGTACTTTGCCCGGAGATGCTGGTGGGGTTTGTTTGCCGTCCTCATCCCTGTTTGCACCCAGCCTCCCGCAGTGTCAGCTCATGCTGGCAGGACAGTGGCTGAGCTGCAGATGTAATTGTCCTTTGATTTTGGGGTGCTTGGCACCCCTTTGGCTACCCACAGGCAGCATCAGGGCGAGGTGCTGGGCACGCTGCGGGGGCAAGAGCCATGGCTGGGCCCCAGCCCACTGGGTGCAGCCCCCTCCCCAGGCCGGCCTGAGGGAACCGTGGCAGCGTTGTACCCCACACCAAGGGGCTGAGGAGGACAGGGAGCTCTGGGGCATGCAGCTGCTGGGGCCGGGGGGCAGGCTCATCATGAGCTCATCGGATTTTCCATCAGCGTGGGGAGGGCGGCTGTTCCCAGCACCACGGGAACGGGGGGGGCTGGACCCATGAACCCCGATGCAGCGGGGCTCTGCCTGCAGCGGAGCAATCGATCAATACTCTGCTTGTTGTATAAGCCCATCGACTCAGGCTGGCGTGGCAGCCAGGAGCCCTCTGCATGGCTGCCCGCACCAGGAGCACCAGCGGAGCACAGCCGCAGGCCCTGTACACCCGCGGTTGCCCCTTCCTCACCGTGCCCCCTGCTCCAGGCTGGCCCCGTGGTGGGGAGGACCCCAGATATGGCTGGACCCAGTGCCAGGCTGTCCTGGAGCCCCGGGATGCTCGTCCGCTCTGGGCAATGCTGTGCTGGGCCCCCTGCCCGCCCTGCCAGGACCCCCAGGGCTGTAGCCACGCCAGGC